CCTGCGTGACCGCCCATGTCGCATGCTTATCAGATTACCACAGCCCCCTAGTATTGGGAGAGGCAACCTGGAGTTGCAAACTTGCCATTTGCAACTTTATGAAACGGCGCCACGGATATCTACATCAGCATTTTCCCCTGTGGCTTAGAAAACTACAATCTACCCCGTTGCTGATTCACTCCTCATGCAGAACCAATTGCGAACTGCTCAGTCCTGGAAGAAGCTTTGGTGGATTTGCGCCTGGCCGACAGGGACTTGTATCCATATATTTGATTTAGCATACATGAATGTTGCTGCCTAGATCAGCACAGCGCTGAATGCATCAAGCCGAAGCACGGAATGACTCCAAATGAAGGCTGTAGCTCCTTATACCACGCTAATGTTATCAGACATCTCCACAGTTCTGCAGACTTGCTTGTGTGAGGAGGTTCATAAGTTATTCTGAATAGCTTCAAGTTCCAGTGTGAGTGTCAAAAGATGGTTCATTTCCATATTTTCTCATTTTCTGCTACCTAGGCCTCTTGTCATTGTTGTAGAAGTTTAGAAGAGACGAATCGAGGTTGAAGAGAGTTCATTCGCACATCCCTGCCGTCGAATACAGTTTAAGATGTAGGATTAGCACTAGACCGTCTCCGTTGGGGCCGCTCGAATCATTCCGGCCAGAACTGGCTGCATCATAAGTGTATTATTGTCCTTCTTCTGACAATAACATTAAGGATGCCGTAGCGTGAATCGGATTTATAAAACTCTCAGGCGAGATGATGGTGTTCTTTCGCGCTCTTTAATTCGGCTTCACACGGTTGAGGTGCTTTACCTTGTTCCACGTGCGCTTCGCACGGTGCCAGAGGACCCCCGTGCTCGCATTTTAACAAAGTTTCTATGGCAACGTGGCCATTACTCCAAGTTGTTGAGGATGCTCAGCTGGAGGGGGCTGGTCACAAGTGCCTACACATATCATCCAAACACCAGGATACAGACATACTTTAGGGATGAGTTGATTCCAATTTCTCATCCTGACGGTTAATTTATGCTCATAGCTGCATGCCGCAGGAATCTGATTGGGGTACACGATGAGGAGATAGAGCGCATTGATATTCATTTCTAGGTTTCAAACATGGATGGAGAGAGTCGCACTTGCAGGTACAGCTTTTCAAAAATATACGTGGGGGAAAACATCTGCATAGATTAAAATGCCATTGGAGGCAGGAGTTCGCAGCCTTTTGGGTTGTGGTGGATTTTTAAAGTACCTAAATTCTTGGGACCCTGCATACCATCGCTGACATACACTGTCTGTTCTTAAAGGGATGGTTCAATTACTTCATGATTTACTCACTCTCAAACCATCCTAGGTATATATACATTTTATTTTTTTTAGACAAATACAATCTGAGTTATATGAAAAAATGTCCTGGCTCTTCCAAGCTTTATAATGGCAGTGAATAGTGGTCAAGGTTTTGAAGCCCAATAAAGTGCATAAATCCATCATAAAAAGTGCTCCACACGGCTACGAGGGGTTAATAAAGGCCTTATGAAGTGAATCGATGCATTTGTGTAAGAGTAATATCCATATTTAAATCTTTAAATAATCATCGTAATCTCTAGCTTCCGCTAACTGTCGTACACGTGTTCACGAGAGAGTGGCGTTCCAGCGGATGACGTAGGATGAAGGCGGAGCATAAGCTCCGGTGAGAATATGCTAGTCTTGCAAGAACCAAGTTTTGTTTCAAGCTAAGGAAAACCAGTCTCCTCTTGGCTTATATCGAAATCCTCAGACACTTTTCTTTATAAATCCTCGTTTTGTACTTCTAATTCATGATCGGTGTTTTGTTTTGCTCTCTCCTCTGCGCTGTACTAAAAACGGAAAAGTTTTTCCTTTGGTTTTTTGAAAAGTTCCGCGACAGTATTATCAAAACGATTCCTTTCACATGGATCCGCGAGTACGACTAAAAACACTGTTTTATGCATGCCAGGCCAGTAGTTGGCGATGTCACTTTGTAAAGAAAGAAACAATACGCACATACACACTTATTGACTGAACATTTAAAATGTATGCACATGATGTCACCGTTTTCCAAAATGTAAGTTTTTGTAGTTTTAACAGAGATGATAGCATTAACATTTTTTAAAAACTTGCACTTTGAAACCAATTTTTAAAAGTTTGCGTTTTCAGTCTCCCAAAATACAATTGGCATGTAAATGAATCGCCAAGAAACATAAAAGGTTTCATTCAAAAAATGGTGTTGTGTAAAACCCCACTGAATGGGGAAAATTCGTTCATCCTCATGCAAAATTCTCGATCTGCAGATTCCTGTTGAAATGACTGGATTTGGATGTTTAGTCATACTGTAAAACATGTATCAACTCGCTGTTATGTAAAATTCGGATTGGAATTTTATAATGATTTGTGGTGTCGGATCAGAGTTAATATTGTAAACTAAAACTAAAACCGTATTTGGAATAGAATAAATGTTAACTGAAATTTAAATAAATAAATAAGTTTTAGCTAGTTGACAAGGCAACATTTCTTATTTTTTAAGTTGTACTAAAACAAGTGCAAGTACTAAAACTAAAACTGAAATAAAAAATATAATAATAAAAATGATTAATAAAAAATACTAACATTTTAACTAAAATTAAAATCATAATATTAAATTAAAATCGTATATCATTAAATGATTTATGAACATTTGAAATGGAATGGATTTTTCAATAATAAAAAAAAAATTCAGCTAAGAGATGAGTGAATTTTATTTTTTTTATTGCAATTATGCAAATTATATTTAGGTTATGAGCTGAATAGTGGCTGAACAAGGGGTTCTGAAAATGAACTCGATCTTCCCATCTCTAGTCTTAACACAAACAAACGATTCTAGGAATTATAGTCACTCACTCAAATTTCCCTTTTTGTGACATAATATTTGAATATTCTGGTGACGCCTCCTTCCTAGGAGAAACATATTAAGAGGAAAAAGTCACATTCTAAGCTGAAATAGTGTGTATGCTGCTGTATCATGAGCGTAGCTGTGATTGATGCTCGCTGCACTATCAGGAGGTTTCTTTCACTCCGTATCATGCGAAATCCTAACTCTGTGAATGCAATACTACTGCACTTCCAGGCAGCGCTGAGTTCTCGCCATCTGGGAAGCAACACATCCCAGAATGTGATGATGTCAGCTGGATTAATTATATTGCCTGGTGCCTGAGAACCTAGAGCCACAACTCAGGTCTTCCTGAAAGTTTGGTGCACAGCATCACTGTGTAACTGGAACTGTTCCTTTGATTATTATAAACTGAATTCTGGTCTTATTAAAAAGTTTAGGATATTTTAGGAGTAACAATTTAAAACTGGGAGACCCCTTGATGAGCAGAGAGACAGAGCAGAACATATTGTATAAATCTGAGTACTGCATTTTAAGCCTGGCTTATAATAGCATGCATTAATGTCCATATTAATGTATTTATATACAGTACTTTATGGTGCTGCATTGCAAAGCCATTAAAATAATCCTTATTGATGTTTAGATTCATTAAACTGCATGATACCAAATGCATTGCAGGAGGTACAATGAAACATTTAGCTGAACTTAAAAGCTTTTGCTGAGGTCAATTTAATATTGTATTTTGGTTTAACGCATATTTACATTTCATCAAACAGTAATAATTGGCGGACCCCTGGGGTACGGTTGCGGACCGCTGCTGAAGAACCTTGCTTTAAAATAATGTTCACTCAGGAGTCATAAGCAAACACGCTTAACAGTTCAGAAGTTCATATTAAAATATATGAATTAAATATGTGAATAACTAATGATCTGCTATGAATTATATACTGTAAGCAGATTTTTCAGTTTTCTAGGATATGACAAAAATTCTTAATTGTGTTTGCCTTTGTAAAAATCACTGCCACAATGCTAAGGAATATTGCCATGCAGCAGCCTGGGCATTCTAGGTGTTTGCTATTGGGTTACTAATCAAAATGATTATTTTTAATAAAATAAACTTATGTTTAAAAGTCGGGGGTCAGTAAGACATATAAGTAAAATATATAAATTAATCATTTTATTCAGCAAAGATGCATAACCGTGAAGACATTTATAATGTTACAAAAAACTATCTTTGAAAAAAAATCAACAATCAACAAATCTTGAAAAAAAAATAAATAATCACATTTTCCACAAAATATTAAACCGCAAAATGTTTTTTAACATTGATAACACAATGTAACAAAAATTTGTTTTACTTAAGTTTTGTATGTTTCTTCTTTAATTCTAAATAACGGTGCTAAGTATTATTGTACTATTATTTTCATGTAGCATCAATATTTTGGTAAATATTTAGGTCAGGTAAATATTAGAACTTTTATTATTAATTATGAAACATTGGTTTAATACAGATATGTTTTTGTACTAATTTAGCATTTTTTTTTTTTTTAAGATATTTTGCATTTGCAAGCATGGGAACATTCTAGAAGTTTTTGTAACATTCTGTAATATTCTAGTGCTTTCTGGAACATTCCAGAACATTGTGCGACTAGTCCTAAAAGACTAAAATCATCTAATGTGCACTTCTGAAGTTTTGGACGACTCACTTTTGCTAACTGTTTATGTTAAACTGTTGTTGTTAGCTCAGTATTATTAATGCACAATGAGTAATAAAAGATTAGCTTGTATAAGTTGTCAACATCTTTTTATTTATTTATTTATTTTTTATTTTTTAAGTTTTCATCAGCACTGTCAATGATACACAAAACATAATGTGATATGTGTTATGAACTTCATAAAGAAACATGTTTCACTGAGTAATAATAAGAAATATTTATTGAGCAGTAAATCAGCATATTAGCATATTCCAAATGATTAAAATTTAATGAGATAGCCGCACAATTTGAAGTATCATTCATTTCTATAGTGCAAAATGTTTCAGCAATGACTCATATAATAGATATATCCCTGTCAGAGTTGCATAATAACTGTTTATGTTTGTGTGTGTGTGTGTGTGTGTAGCTGGGAGGTGTTGCGATTTCTCCTGTCAAACCTGCGCTGGTGGATGGAGGAGTACAGATTTGATGGATTCAGGTTTGATGGAGTGACGTCTATGCTCTACCATCATCACGGGATCGGTATGTCCATGGAAAATTAAGCACGTAATGTTCTTTACTTAGAATTACTCTACATTAATAACATTCTTCCCCTGTAAATGTCACAGGCTCTTATTGTAGAACAGGTAGAAAAGCGTATTGGAAGAGCAACCGTTCCAAGGGCAGTTTCGGTAGACTGCGAGCATGTTACGTAAACTCTCATAAATGAACGGAATTAAGCAGGAAAAGCATGTGATACAAGTTCTTTCAAGCAGGAAATTAATTACACAAGTAGTGTGGCAAAGGTTATCCTGGCATTTTTCTCTTTTCTTTTTAATTTTGTACCAGTGATGCTGCTAATGATTTTCAGTAGGTTTTCAAAGATCGCTTTGAATAAATCCTACTTTGTTTTAATGAAACATGACATTAGATTCACAAAAAAAGGGTTATTGCGAGTTGGTTTCTTCGTAGCTCTTTTTAAAATGAGTTTTGTGTAATTGCTAATTAATTTTTATTCAAATGTAACCATCAGTGGTGGAATCTGATTTTGTTTACATGTTCCCTGATGCTCAGGATCAGGATTTTCCGGGGATTATACTGAATACTTTGGTCTCCATGTAGATGAGGACTCTCTTGTCTACCTCATGTTGGCAAACCATATTTTGCACACCCTCTATCAGGACTGCATCACTATTGCAGAGGTAAGCAGTATGTTGTTTTCTGAAATGCACTGAACGTAGAAGCTCTCGGCAGCATGAAGAGTATTTCTGAAATGTTAGCTCAGCAGTTCTTGAACTGAATTGCTCCTGTTCTTATTCTGCTGCTTTGAGATGACAGTAATATAACATTGATGTCGTAGTTCCCATCAGCCATGGCTTATACTGCAACAATATGACTGTTTTCAAACAGGTTTCCCTGAAACTCCGCATAAGACTTGAGCTCTGTTTCAAATTTTGCGAAACATTCAATAGCTTTGTGAGAAAAAGACAATATTCTATTCTATTCTATTCTATTCTGTTATGTTATATTATATTATATTATATTATATTATATTATATTATATTATATTATATTAGATTAGATTATATTAGATTAGATTAGATTAGATTAGATTATATTCGTCATATACACATTCACTACCATTAAAAAGTCTGAGGTTGGTATTTTTTAAAATTTAATTAAATTTTCTTTTTCTTTTTCTTTTTTTAATTAATTAATTTTTTTTTTTTTTTTTTTTTTTTTATTACAAATTAAACATTATTACAATTTAAAATAACTGTTTTCCATTTTAATATATTTTTATAATGCAATGTATTCCTGTAATGTAAAGCTGAGTTTTCAGCATCATTACTCCAGTCTTCAGTATCACATGATCCTTCAGAAATCATTCTAATATGCTGATATATTGCTCAATAAACATTTTTCTATTAATATCAATGTTGAAAACAGTCATATTGCTTAATATTTTGTGTGTGTGTGTGGAAACTATGATACATTTACATTTTACATCTTTGAAAGTACAACGATCAGCATTTATTTGAAATATACTGTATAAGGTTTTTATAAATTCTTTACTTTCACTTTTGATTAGTTGCATCCTTGCTGAATAAAAGTATTATTTCTTCCAAAAATGAAAGGAGAGAAAAAAAACCCTTACTGATCTCAACCTTTTGAAGGGTTTTGAAGTCCCTGTATAAATCATTTATTTGTATGTTTTATACAATATTTTAATATCAATAGATTACTATTAAAATAATACTTATTATTACATTAGAGGCAACAACATATACATTCATGAAGTATAATTAAATTAAATTTTAAAATAATTGTGAATTATTGTTTGCAACCTTTTTTACTTCAATAAATTGACATACTTTAAAATTTTGATAAAAAAAAAAAAAACTAGGAAATTGATTGGATATTAAAAAGTGACCATTAACTACCAGACATAATTTATGTGCATAATCAATTCTGAAATATCAAGTGTTAACAACACTAGTGCAATGGTAATAGTAATGTACATGTTAATGTTAATGTATTTGCTCTTGGCGGAATAGATCTGCTACGCTGCTGCTGCAAGTACCGAGACTTGCTTCTGCCATCCACAACATGCTGCTGTGAGCATGTAAGAAATATTGCTGCTGCAATCATAACATACATGAAATAACCCCCATACAGCATACATGAATCACCTCGTAGCAGATCTTGTGGCGTGTACATTTTTGGGTGAACTGTTCCTTTAAGTAAAAAGGTGTCTCTCTTTCTGTACTGGCTACTCTCTTCAGAATATGCAGCAGGATCATCCGAAATGACCATAATACCTTTAGTCATGGCTCGATAACCTTAATCTTGTCAACAGCGACACTGTATCCCAACTCCACAAAGACAGAATTAATCTTCCGAGTCAACGGGACACAGTGCATTAAATTAGCACTCAGTGGCTCTGTCTAAAGCCATGATTAATGAGACCACTTACTTTTTACTTACTTTGTTCAGTGTTTTGTAATTAGTGGACAGCGCCCACCAGAGATAACATCTAATTCTCTTTTATGAGCTCCATTGATAGAGCTGGACTGTGAATGCTTAAGTTTGCTTACATTGCAGGAAACAATTAAATAGCATAAAAAGAGACTACAAATATAACAAAAACTAGGACCACAGCTACTTTTTGTATTCAGTGGTTAATTCAATTTTGCACAGCGCTGCATATTATGTGATACCCTGCAGAAAAGACTAGCATGGCTGGAGACCACTGCTAATCTAGTCAACAAAATTAGTGGCAAAAATTTATGAGTTTTTTTGATTTTGTCAGCAATAACACATTTGGCTGGTCATGTGATCCCAACATGTCGGCCCCCATGAGGCGACCCACTCTGTGAATATAAATAAATTAACTTTTATTAGGAGGCCAGATATGACTGGAGTCATCATTACATCTGAATTTCTCATTACAGTAGACATTACAAGTTCCACTCCTTTTATATAAATGTGTGTGTAAAATGTTTTAGGGAGCTAAAATTACCATGTGCATGTAAGTTTCATATGGCTTCAGAAGAAAATGTTACTTTTTGCCATTTTGAGCTTGACAGACTTTCCAAAAGGTCCAGTCTTGATATTTCCTTCCCAGTGGAGGTCGGGACAATACTTTTTTGGAGTAGTTATGAATTTCAATCTGGGCAGCTGTACTACTTTGTAAAAGAAAAAGGAAAAAAATCTAAATAGTCATCAAAGATGAGGATATTGGCCTTGAAAGCCAAAGTAGTAGTGACTGAGATTATTATTATTATTATTTTTTTTTTACAAACAAATTAAACCATTTTATCAGTTGAGCCCAACTGGATGTGAATATTAAAAGGTAGATCAGATGTTTTATCAGGTTATTATTATTTTTACATTTGAATACCCATGTATGGCAGAAGGCCACGTGGATGAGAATAGTACTGGTCATAATAGTCATTTGCCAGCATTGACGAGTTAAAGCTGTTAATGATGTTTGCAGCGCACTATTTGTAAGGGTAAAAATGAAAATTATTAAGACCTCATTTATTTGAATGTATTATAGCATTTATTTGAATTAATTATCGATCAATCATGTGAGAGAGGTGACAGTTGCGTGTGTGAATTACCTGTGTCTGCGCCTCTCTCTACAAACAGTGAAGCTGTTTTTAATTACTTCAAAAACAGTTATTTTACCATCTCGTTGATGAGGAATATAATGTAGTGATCTAGTATCTAGCTACATAGTAGCGATTAGCATTGACAAATATTTTCTGTGGTCCTGAATGTTTCTCTGTGTGTGCAGCGCGATCTCCTCTCTCTCTCTCTCTCTCTCTCTCTCTCTCTCTCAATTCAATTCAATATGTGCTTTATTGGCATGACGGCATGACAATTGTTACAATGTATTGCCAAAATATAGTGTTTACATTGAATCTAGAGCAGATATGTATAAAAAAAAATTTAACATAATAATTAAATAAATGAATAAATAAATAAATACATGCATGTATATATAATTAAATAAAGTAGAACAAATCAATTCTATCACTTCTAGAATTCTATGAACAATTTAAAATTTAGTGTGTGTTTGTGGGCGCATCACTGATTTGTTGACTCCTCCCTCTTTTTTGTGACAGGCATCAATGTATCTTGCTGCTAGTAAGATACAATCTTGTTTTTCACCTAATAAATATTGAAGTTGTGTTTTCTTGTTTAACATTTTGAAGTCAGGGCAAAGTATTTCAAATTTTGGATAACAATTTCTTTCTAATTGATAGTTAGGGCATCTGGTGAGGAAGTGTTGCTCTGTCTGCTCGGAGTATGATTGCTCAGTCTGTACCTCGTCATTTGTCTTCTTAATTTATAGTCTTTCACTGTACTCCGATATTCTGCAGTTGTGTAATCTGTTTTTAGGGCCAAATAACATTCAGGTTTACTTAGTTTTTCTGTTGTTTCATTCCAATAGTTTAGATGATTTTCTTTTTGTGTTTTTATAATTTGGTTGGGCAGAATTTGATGTATGAATATTTCAGTGTCTTGATGCTGACTGTTGTTAGTCATGTTAGTTTGTTTTTGCAGCTTCAGGACCATCTGAATCTGGACTTTTTTCAGGGTTCACTTCATGGTTTTAAGGGCTTTAAAATGGTCACTCATTTTTAGGTGTTTCCAAAATCTCTCTGTCTCTCTCTCTCTCTCTCTGTGTGTGTTTGTGTGTGTGTGTGCTTTAAGAGATGATTTTTTTGGGGGAGAAGTTAAATAATGGCGCAAATACCAGTAATTTGAACAGTGCAAACGTTAGTAAATCGCATTGCGTGATTCATTTTAATACTCTCCTCCCATAAATTTAGCATCTGAAAGGGAAACTTCTACAAATGCATATTCAATAAGGTCAGGCGCAAAAATAATTGTGTCCACGCCTTTTCAGTGCTAATTCTTCACTGCGCGTCTTCAGTAAATCCTGACAGTACTATTTTAACGCCAAAAGACTGTTTGCGCTGGCACAAGCTGTTAGTAAATATGGCCCTAAGTCAATCAACATTAGTGTGCCGCCCACAGTCTGAATAAATGTCCTTGCACACCGAGTCCAAAATTTTCGTATGCGTTTTTCCGGGGGGTTTTTCGTATTCGTCATCCTTTCCTTTCAAAATGCTTGCTACGGATGCGAAAACGCAGAAAATCGAACCTGGTCCGAATTCTTTTTATGACGGATGAAAGTTTCGGAGGCAGTGTGTAAACGTGATTGACACAATGTGAGGTCGTATTTATTTTTCAACGTGCGAAAATTTCGGACGAAAAATTCGGACTCGGTGTGCAATGGCCTTAGTGCAAGGACATTAGATCTCTGCCAAAAGTGTTTGTGCATGTTCAGCGATTAAACTAATACTATAAAATGCTATAAGCTTTCCGCTATCGCCATGGTATAAGTGAAAAATATCAATCTATTTTCCTGTTCACCATGTTTCTGTTACTGTTAAAATAACCATGTCATCTGCAGCTCTTGTAGCACCTCCTGTCTTCAGCAGGGGGGAGTAGCAGTGCACACAGGGCAGAATGAGCTTGAATGAAGCGCGTTTGGCTCTAGATAAAAATATTAGAAGATATAACGGAGAAAGATCATTACTATAAATGACCCTGAATGCTTGTGGTGTGCACAGCTCTATTGTTTTGATACACTGCTGACTTTAAACTGTAGAAATGGTAAAATGGTGCTACCGTTGGCATTGGTTCATGGTCCAGTTGGAACCAAGCCGGGGTCCGGAACCGGATCGCTGTCCGCTATTTGAGGACCCCTACTTTAAAGGAGTAGTTCACCCAAAAATGTAAATTTCTTGAAAATGTACTCACCCTCAGGCCATCCAAGAGTTGAGTTGTTTTCTTCATCAGAACAGATTTGGAGAAATTTAGCATTACATCACTTGCTCACCAATGGATCCTCTGCAGTGAATGGGTGCCGTCAGAATGAGGGTCCACAAACAGCTGATGAGCAAGTGATGTAATGCTGAATTTTTCCAAATCTGTTCTAATGAAGAAACCAACTCATCGTCTTGGATAACCTGAGAGAGCAAATTTTTGTTTTAGGGTGAAGTATTCCTTTAACAGTACTGTAAATCTAACCTCTACATATTGTTGTGTTTTTAAAAAATTCTTTCTTTTTTAAGGATGTGTCCGGTATGCCCACCCTTTGCCGTCCAGTCCAAGAAGGAGGTCTGGGTTTCGACTATCGCCTGGCCATGGCTATTCCCGACAAATGGATTCAAGTGAGTTTTTCTAATATGAAGTGATGAACAACATAAAAGAGAATAGCTCGGTGATATTCAATATACATGCAACTACTGTACAGTCCTACTGTAAGTGTAACCGACAACTTACTGCACTTTACTCACATTCCAATATATTCCCTCCAGATGGTGCCAGTTTGTTTGAGCCATATCATGCTAAGTGTCTCATTCATCACGCACTTGTCCTGCTTGTAATTCCGAAGCGAAACGTGTTTCTATCTTTTTCTCGGGGGAATTAGATTTGAAGATTCAGTATCCAGAACCTGCTCTAAATCTAAACTGACAACCGGCGGATCAGATAAATAGGGCGTATCTCAATTTTTCCGGCCAGATGTATATTAATAGTGTCGTGCTCTTGGAAACTAGGATGCGTTCAATACTCTCTGTAATGTTTTTATTTATTTTTTTTGTGAGTGTGCATAATTAAGAGTATAATTATGGGCAATTCTTCAATCATTTTTCGTAATTAGGGTTTCTTCTGTGAGTTGATCTAAAGCATTCCTTTGTTCTGTGCTGTTTCTGTCGGTATGCATATTAATATAGGTCTTCTCATTATGGATATATATATATATATATGGAGATTTTGGGATTCTTTTCTTTTCTTGGCAGCAGCGCAAGGCAAAGCACATCTATCTGACTGATCAGAGAGCCGCAGTTGCAAACTATCAGTTTGAAATCTTTATTTTAGTCATTTCTTCTGTCAATTAACCACTTTGACCCCTCGATGGGTTTAGCCAGATGTAATAATTGGAAGTTTTTCTGCTAGTTTTTGGAAATTAATTGAAAATTCTGTATCATCTGAAGTAATTAGAAACTAATTTCAATTTCATTCATAATTCATAATTGTTTGAGATGATAACTGCAGACTATTTATTGCTTGGTCTTTTTAAATGATTCAAATATTTATGTGTCTTAATATCTCAGTCTTGTATGTCAGTAGAAATTTACAATTTCTAAGTGAAATTTCCACAAGGACTTATGACTTAAAGCTTATTTTAAATAGCTTTACTTTAAATAATAGTGACAATTAGATTATTAAATATTTTAAGTAGTTACACTGTCATTCAAAAGTCGATAAGATTTTAAAAATGTTTTTGATAGTCTCTCATGCTTACAAAGCTGCATTTATTTGATTAAAAATACATAAAAAACAGTAATGTTGTGAAATATTATTACAATTTAAAATATCTGTTTTCTATTTTATAAATTTTAAAATGGAATTTATAATTGTGATTTTAAAGCTGAATTTTCAGCATCAGTACTCCAGTCTTCAGTGCCACGTGATCCTTTCGAAATTATTCAAAAATGCTGATTTGCTGCTTAAGAAATATTTCTTATTATGTTAAAAACAGTGCTGTATAATATTTTTTGTAGAAACCATGATATTTTTTCCCAAGATCATTTGAATAGAAAGTTCAAAAGAACAGCATTTGTTTTAATAATAAATCTTCCTGACACCAACATTTTGAACAACTGTATGTTTTTGTAAAACAGTGACATAGTTACTTATATGAAATCAAAACAGTGTTACAGTGTAGTTTTTTTATTTTTTATTAGATACATCTAAGATCATATTGAGAGATAAATTACAATTTACTCTTGGTGGGAAAAAAATAGGTTTAATTTAATGACATTATGACATTCACATAGTTGTCCACTGCTCCATGTAAGATCATAAAGTTATATGAAGATTGTTTTAATTTATTTTTGTTCATTGAAACATCCAGTTCTTACAAGGTTCTTTTTCTCTTGTAATTTGTAACTTTCCTGTCTGCATTCCTGTCTACCTTGACAGTCTTATACAGTAAAAGCAAAAAAAAAAAAAAAGAAGTGTGTGTGCCCTGTACACTGCAGGGGTGACTGTTGGTGCTGAGCGCACAGCCTCCATGCAGAATCGCCTTGCATTGCTAAACAAGGCTAGCCAGAATACAGGGCTTTTTACCAGACCAGCAGCATCAGCCGCGTGCTTCTCTTCGCCCCGGCTGACCCTCTGCGGCTCTGCTCCAGCAGACTGATTCAGTGCTGCACTCTCCGCGCACAAAGGTGTCCACTTCACTGACTCTGGATCAGTGTTTGGAATGGCATAAAGGCTGCTGCTTGCTGCTTTTTTTAACATTTGCTTTTTTCATACAATGCCCAGCATGCAGTATTTATTTGGGGCTTTTCATCCGACACCACTATCGATTTCGTTCTGCGTTGGGGTACCGATGAGACTGCACTTTGAGGGCTCTCGGATGACTTGGAGTTTGTGTGAAGAAAAGAAAAGAGCGCACAGAGTCTTTGTGCGCAGAAGAGCGTGTGACTCGTATCTATGTATATGAGCCAATATATTTTTGACAGGGAAGTTTGAGATGGTACCCTGCTCTGAGGCCTGTCAAAAAACAACAACAATATTCTAGATGCGCTGAATCTCTCGAAGACAGGAACAACATGGTTCATACTGTACCTCAATTAAAAAAAAAAGAATAATAATAATAAATATTGTAATAATTTATATTAATAGATAATAATGTTAATGATTGTCATTATGAGTAGTAATAATAATAATAATAAAATAATAATAATAATAATAATAATAAACACCAATAATAATAATAATAATAATAACAATTATTATTATTAGTAGTAGTAGTTGTTGTATTGTTGTTATTATTATTGTGGTGGTGGTGGTTGTTGTTGTTGTTGTTTGTTGTTCATTTAATGGGAAATTTATATGCTTATATACCCACAATCTTTAATAATATACACAAACAAAAACTTTTTTGCATCATGTTTCTGAGAATTATGTACTTTATTGTCATATATAGTCCAACAAAGCAAGTCTTTATGGTTGTAAAAATACACTTTTTTTTTAAGCATAGTATAATTTTATTTGCTTGCTTGTTTGTAAAATATGACCTGTACGCCTTCTTGACAGGTTTTGTGAGGTCATATTAAAATAAGTAAATATATACTTTTTAATTAAATACATATACACATATAATACATAAAGAATCATAAATGAAATTATATATTTCTTATTTATTTTTATGTTTATTACTTATATGTATATTCATATGAATATGTATATAGCATTTAGTGCAAATTTATAAGTATATGCAGCACAAAATTGCCTATTACAGTGTATGTGTGGATACCTTTTTACTATAGTAATGAAAAAACATTTTTATTAATATTTCATTAATATTCATTATTTTAATATTTTAACATTATTATTATTAATATTATAAATGCTAGAATACAAGGTTTTTATTATATACATACAGGTGCATCTCAATAAATTAGAATGTCGTGGAAAAGTTCATTTATTTCAGTAATTCAACCCAAATTGTGAAACTCGTGTATTAAATAAATTCAATGCACACAGACTGAAGTAGTTTAAGTTTTTGGTTCTTTTAATTGTGATGATTTTCAACGGTGAAAGTCTTAATGGTTGTAAAAATACATTTACTATTGCATAGTATATATTCTTTAGGAGTGAAATATGACCTGGACTACTCCTCGCCAGGTTTTGTGAGATCACCTTAAAGGGTTCAAGCTGATAGTTGTTATTCCAGTGGGGCGGCACTGCCTGCAGAAACATGCATCCCAGCCCTGCTTTTAACGTCACCCAACCTGTCTGATTAATCCGACCTCTAAGCCCACACTGGCAACCCGACTACATCCGAGAGCCTCGGAGAAATTAAGATGTCCTAATAAGAGAAGCAGATAAGGCTTGCAGCACAAGTTTGCCTGATTCTATCTGATTACCACTCCAAAACGCTGTCACTTCCAATGGATAGCATAACAAAAGCCCTCTAATTTAGCCAGTGCCCTTATGTCCGAGTCCAACAAATTGAAATGTAATGGAAACAATTAGAGCTAGTGAAGAATGCCTCACATGCTGCCCGAGAACAGCGAGAGACCAAACCTCGGCCCTGTTTCCCAGCTAAACATACAAATTGACTTACGACTGGTCTGAAGTCACCTCTGTCTGCAGAGCTCTCCATTTCAAGCGGTTTGCTCTGATATAATAGTCCATTAAAGAGAGAGTTCACCTTAAAATTAAAATTCTACATTATTCATTAATATTTAGTAACCCTCAGGTCATTCCATGAAACGCACACACAAAAAAGCAGAAATCAAGGTTGCGGTGAGGAACTTGGAAATGAATGGAGCTGATTCTTGGAGGATTTCTAAGCAAAAATGTCAAGCTTCTAAATTTAGAAAAAGACTTGCATTAACTCTACTGTATTATTTGAGCTTTAAATGGTTTAAACCATCATCTGTACAGTTTTTGGGTTCATTTACATTGTTGTCATGGCAACGGTTGCAAAATTGTGTATAACTTTGCACATAAGTAGTTAGAAAGTAAATTTGTCACACTAAAATCATGTTAACACATGTTGGTTATGTGGATGTACTATTAAAACGAAAAAAGAATATACTAATGCTTAAAGTTTTGCGACTTTTCCATTGTAAGCGCTTCACCGTAACCCCTTTTTTTAAAGAAAAAAAATTAATAAAAAATTGTTGAAGTGGTAATTAATTTTTGTGGTAATAAACATTATGCCACAAATGTTATATAATAATTTTTCAAATAGACGTTATCTTTCACTACCGGTCAAAGGTTTGGGATCAGAATGATTTTGTGTTTTTTATGCTCATCAAGGCTGCATTTATTTGATCCAAAAATACAGGAAAAAATTTAATGTTGTGAAATATTATTATGATGTAAAATAACGTTTTTCTATTTTAATATACATTAAAATAAAAGAATATACTAATGCTTAAAGTTTTGCGACTTTTCCATTGTAAGCGCTTCACCGTAACCCCTTTTTTTAAAGAAAAAAAATATATAAAAAATTATGGTTAAGTGGTAATTAATTTTTGTGGTAATAAACATTATGCCACAAATGTTATATAATAATTTTTCAAATAGACGTTATCTTTATTAACAAACCACATGTTTGAAGTCAACAACTACATTCTTGCCTAAA